TAATAAAATGTTAAATATCTCACTTATACATAATTTGCACCATAAACACCATTCAAGAAAGGTGTCTTAGACTTGTCAAAATTACTGATTGCAATTATAAAATTCCCAAGATTCGTTGAGTCACAAAAAGTGAAATACGTACAGTATTGTAATACCTGTACCAAAATCAGACATACTTCAGTGATGATTTCTGCCAATTCACTTAAGTGGTTAGGGTGAGGCAGCCTCACCCTAAATGATATTTTCAAAGTAAATTTAAAGTTGTTTTCTGCAACTCCCATATTAGATTCATTAACTTAAAATAGAAATTATACTGTATAAAAATATTCTTAATACCAGCTAATTTAGTGGTGCCTGTATTATAAAGCACCGTGTATTACTGAAGTTGAAAATGTTTTTAACACAAGCTGGTTGAAAGAACATGAAATTTTACCAGATACTGTAGTACAGTTGTGAGTAGCTTGACTGGCACTGGATTTAATCTACTTATCATAAGCTGGAATTCCAGAGTGCTACCAATGAGAATAAATCTCAGTTGCAGTCATGATAAACAAACTTACCCAAAATCATTATTTGCCTTCAGATGTTGTCAACACTGAATTTCAATTCTCTCGAACCAAATTCAGTGTGGCTCCATTAGTGCAATTCTAATGTGGTTTATATTAGACAGCATTGTAAATACAGTACAGTACTGTACTACAGTACCTGTATTTATAATTTTCTAAAGTACAATTGACTCAACCAATGCCAAACAGTTTTGATCATGACAATTCGGCTTTCAATCCAACTTCTGTTATGTTCATCAACAATAGTGCAACAGTTTACATTTTCCAACAAAATTGACTATAGAATACCAAATAACTAAGCCAATTGGAAAAAAATAAAATAAAAAATAAAAATAAACAAATAAAAAGGTTAATGAGCGATTGAATCTGACATAAGAACATTTAACACCAATGTCACATGAGTCAATATATCATAACATTCTTTGTACAGTAGACTCTTGCCATTCGCGATTTCGACGATTCGCTGTAAGCAGATAGTTGCTATGGTGGCTAGCTTGCGAACCTTTTCCCGCAGCGCAATGAGTCACCCTCCCTCTGTTCATGCTCACCCATTGCCTGTGGCGCAGCATCTCGTAGAGTACTCTCAAAACTTTAGACTGCTTAGTGTTAGTACTAGTGATGGTAGTGGAGTGAAATGTAAAAGGCAGAAGTCAGTAATGACCCTGACAAAGAAAGTTGAATTATTAGATAAGTTAAAAGAGGGGATGAGTGCTGCCACCATCTGGTTGGTTGTTTGGTATAGTGCACTAAGGTAGTATAAGTTGCTATTTGCGGTTTTGCCTATTTGCGCCATTCCTTGGAACCTAACCCCGACGAATAACAAGGGTATACTATACTAACTATCTCTAGGCAGTTAGACAAGACGTGACATCGAATGACTTTTATGAAAGGTTTGAAAGCCTGTGGCACGAATGGTACTGTTTGCTTGGTGTGGATGTCCGTTGTTGTATCTTTCTAAGTTAGCACAAATGAAATCTTAGCCAAAGACCTATCAGCTTTATCATTTACTTTTTTATTTATAATTTAGCCAAGATTTACATGTATTCTCATATGCCTTTTACTGGAAAACCAGGTTTTACAATGTTCCAGCTCCTTGGATGGTGAGTACAAATATTGCATACTGTTTTATGAATTTATTTCCATTTCTATTCTTGTCCCTTTGTTTAATTTGTAATCTCAGGGTCAGTGGTACCTTTTTAATACATAGTATGTGTGTGGCGTATGGATCCAAATGTACAGTACAGTCACGAACAAGTTTGCTACCCGTGATGAAAGTGAGTCACAGGAATGAGCCTTCGAACTTAATTACCCTTAGTGTCACCTGGTGCAGGTATGCTGATTTATCTCAATTAGGGTTGATACGACTTCAGTTTGGGAGAGAGTGAACATTTGACCTCAATTGTACAGTTGCCTCCATTTATAACGGGTACAGTGGTTGGTGTGTTTTGTGAGATGTGCCACCACAGCCCACCAGAGAACAGATAGGAGCATCCTTGGTCTGGTTACTATAGCGAGGGACGATCTGTCCGTTTTGCTAGTTTTACTATGATGTAAACAAGCAGTGGCACCACATCTCACAACACACACCAACCACTGTACCCATTATAAATGGAGGTAACTGAGCCTGAAAGTTTGGGTTTATGGGTCATATTCTCAGTTGTCATGCCCAGCCATCGGGCACCACAGGCTTGTGTGGGGTGAGGTCATTCAAGAACGTGCTTTAGACAATATGATGGGTTGGGATCGCGATGTAATGGGCAGGGCTGCCAATATTTCCAAATAGGGTGGATGGCCCATTGTTACCACAACCCCCCCCCAAAAAAAAAATTTAAGAGGATATCTATGTGATATAGAAATTATTATTCTCTGGTGTTTGCGAGGTTTGTCTTGAAAGTGATATTTCACAGGGAGTTGGCCACACTAGGATGGCCGGCGGTTGTCGTACAGTGAGTCAGCTGACTCAATAACACAGCGCGGTGTTGTTTTCGCACGGATGCACACTCATGCTTAGTCGGGAATATTTTTACACTTGTAAATAACTGACAATATTGGAATGTATACGGGAACAAAAAGTTTGTCACCAACAAACTTATTTTCTACCAGTTTTGAATATATTCCATCTCTATATCAAAATTTGGGACTGTCATCGGGCGGGTACCCCCTCCCGATGAAATGTTCCAATAATACCAAATAGCAAAACTGATCCACCGTCCAGGGACTGTGGTGTCTCTGAAAGATCTCACCCGATGCCGTTCCCGATCGATCAGGTGGTGTAACGACTAAGAATACTGCCCTATGAAGTCATTCATAAGTTTACAAAATTCCCATGTTCACCAAACTGTCAGTCCCAAAGGTTTACAAACTAGCAGTTCTGTTGTAATCCTATTACTGAACTTTTATTGCTCTTATTGGAAATGGAAGCCAGTAGCGTGTTTAATCCTCCATCTGACTCACTGATTCACAATGTTTAATTGCAGCAGAACTTTAGAAAAAAAATAATTGAACACTATAATGGGTGAGTAATTCTGAAGAAGGATTTTAATCTGATGTCCTGTATTTCTAAGTGCTAAGAAGAACAATAAGGGGGTGATCAGAAATAACAAGCAAAAATAAATAATATCCACTTCAAAAATTCTAATACTGTACATGTATACAGCTTACAAGGCATGGGAGACATGGGCAGATTATAGGTCTTAATGCACTTTTGTATAAAACTGCTTGTTATATTTACATCTATACCGATACAGAGTCTGAACACAATATATGATACTTCAACCTTTGTTACACAATTTCGGTTGGTTAGATTAGCGACACCTAACCCAATAAATATTCAACTATCAAATACTGTGTTCTGACTCAAGATGCACACAAACAAAGAATATAAAGGTAAAAGACAAATGTTATTCAGTAATCTCATATTTCACAGGAGTAAAATCACGTGCACCTTCACTGATGGTCAGCGAGATTGGGAACTTTGCAAGGCACCAGATACTGCTACATCATATAATTTATAATTTGTAAAATGACCCAAACTAACCTACCGAAACTAATATAATTTACCTAATCTTGAGCTTCACCTGAACATTATTATATGATTTAGGTTAGGTTAGGTAGGTTAGTTTGGTTCAGTTTATGAACACTATATTATACAAGGTAGCAGTCTCACCAAATGTCAACAATCATACTAAAATCTTCATTATTTAGCCGCATCTCTATTTTGTACACTTTTACTATTCTTATTCCATTATTTTCCTAACATTATTTATGTCCTCTCCTCCAGTCAAGTTTAACTGCTGGATAACTAAAAATGTTCAAATTCACCTAATTTATGATTCTTTAAGCTTTCTACTCCTATATTTCCCTGATCACATCCATCCGTTTCAACACCTGACGTGACTAATTTCTTCAAATTGGTGAAATAGATTTTATTAAGTATTTAGGCTTCTCACATCTTACCCCCACTTTTCAGCATGTGAATACACAATAGAGCTGAAAGCGTCATTACAAATTCTCAGTAGTTATAGAACAGATGAGGTCTTTATTACCAGGAAAATAATGTTGTTCAAAATACACCAATTGAGTAATAAATGTCTCAATTAATTCATTTTTTATGGATCAACAAACATATCAGTAAAATTTTTGTTTCGGTCATCCCTGTACAGTATTAGATATACAAACTTTGTGATTTCCGACAGATATGAAGGTCCAAATCGTTCAAAACTCACCGAACACCATCGGAAAAATATAGTTTGGATATCTAACCTAACTTAACCCAATTCCTAATATTCCCCGGATGACCGAAACTTAAATTATACTCACACACTTATGTTAAGCATGCTTAGTTAGGTTCAAAATTAAAATATTCAGTTCCCTTTAAAAAAAACACACAAAAACAACTCAAAATAATATAATTAACTGCTAAAACTGTTTTTACTATAGAGAGTAATGAATGTGTACCCACAAGTTGGTGTATTTTGGTATGTGCTATGGTCAGGGCTTGAGTTGTCCACACAACCCCAATATGCAAGAGATAAACAAAAACAATCTCCATGGTAAATTTTTAATGTGTAAGAATAATATATCACATGTTGTTGAAAAAGCCTATACAATTAATGTGGCCTTGAAATTACATTAATGCCCAGATGGGGTAATTTCTACTACTGGAATTCATTATAAAAAAAATGTGTACCCCATTTCAACTGGATCCTAAACATTCCTTGCCTAACAGACATTTGGCTGTGCTTAACCCTCGTGTAAGGAGAGGCCAGGATAAAGTAGTAATGCTAGAAACATGTTAGAGGCGAGAGAGGTGATCTTTTGTTAGTGTTGTTTACGAGCGGGTGGGGGGGCGCCGCGACCAGGCTTCGCTCCCCAGCATCCCTCCTCTACTCTTTTTTATTTTTCCTGCTCTCTAAACACCTGACACACCCCTACCTTCTTTTTTAAGACGAGTTGTCGTCGATTCTCGCCTAGATTTTGTATTTTCCTCATCTTCTGAGTCACCTAGAACGAATAATAACATTAAAATTAGGACAACAATCCCCGTATTTTCACAGATTTCACGTGCGAACCCTCACTTTCGATCTCATAATTTGACGTCCCTAGCGCCTTGATGGTTATCACAATAAGTTGACATTGAATCTAAACTATCGCACTTACTTGTGGGGCTATTCATGCCGAGCCTTTCGGCCCATAAGGACCATTTTTGTCCTTCAAAATTTGTAAGGCTGTCATCCAAGGCAGCCATCTTCACTTTTTCCACTAGTTATCGTGACGTCACGGACATTCAGGCCAAATGTCGAATGCATACGGCAATGATCAACAAGACCTCAAGTAAGGACATATTATCTTTATTTTGTATGATTATTTCTTTTCAATATTGTAATTGAATTTCACAAGCATGATTAATCCATAAATGATAATTATATTGATGAAAAGTAAGTTTGTTTGGCTTTGTTGTTGTACGTATTTACTCCTGGGCCCAAATGACACGAGCTGGCGTAATGGTTCTTTTCTACAACTGATACCTGTTTATTTACCAATGAAATGTTTAAGTGTTTCATTATGTTCATCTCTATTGTCGATTATCCTTGATAATGATGTTATATATGCCAAATTGACCAATTTGTAGCTAATTTTGCTGATTTTTTTATTCGAAGGATTAATATCGCAATCGGAGATGTAATTTAACATGTTATTTTTAACACTTCACTGCTTGAGAGTAGGCATTTGTATTTGAGCGACACTCGCAAGTCTTGTACAAATTTATTTCAACAAAATGGCTGTATATGCAATAGAGATCACTTGGCCGTAACGATATTTACATACCCTGCCTTTTAACAGTTGACCAGGTAAACAATAACAAATAACACACCGTTCCGCCTATAGGAAACAAATTAACAAAGCAACTTGAGCTTACATCGCATAAATTAATAATATACCTTCATATAATTATCGGAGAACACTGTATTCAAATTATTTGTCGTGGTACAATATACGTTTAATTTATTTTAACAGTATATGTGCGACAGAACGTTGCTCGCACGCCGCTCGCTTGGCAGCAATTTTCCTCGTGTGCGTCGTACAACAAGCTAACAGCGCCTAATTAAGGAGTTCTTGCTCTCACCTTATTCATACGCTGAGTAATTTCTGCGGAGTGAAATTCCAAGTATGCACAGCGATACTTTTGACCCCGATTTTGCCATCACTTTTTTATATCGTTGTTTGTAGTATATGTTTTGTCAGTACATGAATTAGGAACATTGGATAAAGAAATAACGCATGCACATACTTATGAAAGAGGATTCCACGTTGGAACATGGAAGATTTAGTGAATGAAGCGTAAAAAAGCAATACCATAAATGTCATTAAGTCTGTGAGTTGTTAGCAAGAGAACCTGTACCTATGAGCAATATTAGTTATGTAGGGTGTTTTTGAAGGGTTTATTGTATTACGCATTCACACACACACACACACACACACACACATATATACTGGGGTAGAGGGGCGCTAAACTTGTAGAGGGTTGATACTGAATTGATATTGCTTGGGGGGGAAACACTGAAAATATTGGTGAGAGGGAAGAGATACGAACGTTGAAATTACTAGGAGAGAAACTAGAGGTGTAGGGAGTTGGGGAATATGCAGGCATTCAACTTTCTTGCATGGTGACGCTTGAAATGCAGGAGGGGGGGCATTCATTGATAATGCTGGGTCAATGTATAAGGGGAGGGGGAGGAATGAAGTTGAAAATAGAGAAATGAATTTAATGACATTTCTGGGGACACTCAAACTGTAGTTAGAGGGGAATCAGATGATGAACATGAACCAGGTTATGGACAGTTTAAGTGTTGGAGACCCTGTTGTTGTTATACTGTACTGTACTATTATTACTGAACTTCAACAACTAAGGTCTTTAAGCGCGAGGAGGTCCTGGAAATGTCAGAAGACATTAGAAATGTAGAAGAGCATTGAAAATGTAAAGGTGACACTTTAAATGCAAGGGAAGCACTAAAAATGTAAGAGGGGCGCTGAAAAAATAGGAGGGTGGATTGAAATATAATAATTGATGAAAATACAAGGAAGTCAAGTATTAATCAAGTCCGGGGAGGATGGCGAGGGGGCACATGAATATTGCAGGCAAGGAGACAAACAATGAACACACTGTGGTGATGCAAACATTGAAAACTGACTGATACCACCCTTACAATTTCAAAATCTAGCTTAAATGTTTAGGTCAGTTTACACGATTCAAATTCTTAGTGTGATGTTTGTTGATGTCAATGCGTATAAGAACAGTTCAAAATGTACTTCCTACTAGCCCAGGGTATCACGATATCAATGTTCCTAAATGCTTACTAAAAAGACGAAATTAATAGCCGAAGGAAAAAAGTGGAAGGATGTGTAACTGTATTAGTAGGAAACATAAATTATCTAATCACCAGTGAAGTGCTACTCTGTTCCTTGCTCTCTGTTGCATAGATCATGATTCATCAGGAACTTTTATCACGCTAAGTCGCTAAGCTAATGATAAGGGTAAACTGACCTTGATTATGCATGACGGAGTTAATGGTGTTTACGCACTCGTGTAGTGAGGGGTTCCACCTATTATATATTTGGGGTCCGATGTTATCTTATGGGTTCCCTGGATGATGTCCTGTTGAGGATACAGCAGGGGTGTTGGGTTGAGGAAGGTTAACCTTTCTTAAAGTATAAAAAAAAATAAAAGGAAACACGTAGTGGTACTGTAACGTCCAATGTACTCCGCCCAACACTTCGCGTGACACCCTGAGACAGAATGGGGGGAGGGGGATGTGTGCAATGGGAGTAAGAAAATAAAGGTTTTACTAAAGCATTTGGTCACTACTGTGTCAAAATGCTTGAAATATCACTCGGTCAAAGCAAACAGTCAATCATATGTTCAACTGTAAGGGTCGATTAGTCCAGAACGTGCAATGAGAGGTCATTTTGTCTCAGGCGTGTGAACATGTTTTGAACAACTTAAGACTGTGACTTTTGGTAATATGCTCTCAGCAGTAGTCATGCCTTTGACCATAGGCTCAAGTCTTCAAGTCTTGAGACAAATACACGCTAGTTGAATTGCCAATTACACAAATATCCCATATTTCCTCCCACCTGGACATTCAAAACATAAAACAAAAATTAAAAACGTTCAAGAGCGTCACCCGAGGTCACCTAGGCGAACGTTCAAGAGCGTCACCCGAGGTCACCTAGGCGAACGTTCAGGAGCGTCACCCAGGGATCACCTAGGCGAACGTTCAGGAATGTCACCCCGGGTTTAAGAGTCAACTTTCAGGCTGCTGTTGCTCCCTATGTTCACGGGCGTTCGCAGGTCCCCAAATTATAAGATAAAAACTTATTTGGATAGAAAATACATTATTTCACTGGTATTTTTCGAAATAACTTAACACAGAGTGATATAGGATAAAATAATCAAAATCGTATGTGGAGTCAGGGAACCTTCAGCGCGATTGGTTGTGATAACTTTTGAAGCCAGAAGCTAGTACTATACCAGCCAGAGCAGAGTCTTCGTTTGGTGTTGGTGTGTGCGGTACAGTCGGAGTTGCTCGTAATTTCACTATGTCAGAGATTAAAAATACACAGGAGGTGCAATGTGCCTATGCACAAGAGTACTGGTAAAGCCACGCCTGGAAATTGAGGTGGTATGCGGCTCGTCGCGCTTACTAAAGAGCTAACGCTCGCACATGACCATAGTTTGGAATGTGCTCCTGTACGTGTACAACTGTCTGTAGATCAAATATTTGTGAAGCAGCTTTAATAGAAGTATATTTTGTTTGTAACAATGTACGACCCCGTGTATGAAACAACTCAAAATCCTCTACAGTATTTACAAAACTACTGTACTTACTTGTGTTCTTCCAGCATAGTAAATACTCTAATTTGATTTGCTTATTTTTCAGCCCAAAGAAGATTGGGAAATTATAGATATTATATAGCAATGGAAAGTTAAATTAGGTTGAATACAGGGGTGATACCACACAAGATTAAATGTCAAGGGAAAGTTCTGAAAACTAATCCAGAATGGTTTTGCATCAGCAAAGAAAGAGACAGGGGATGTTAAAGAACATCCTCTCGTTCTTGTTTTTGAGAATTCTTCGCCTTTTGGCTATTTCCGTCAGAGATGCTGTTTTCTTGGTCCTTGCACACCACTCTGATGCTCTTCTGTTTTGTTTTGGATTTTGGTTTTTGGTTGTGATGGGCGATGATGAAGGGGGTGGGGGGTGCGTAATACGATGATGAGTCAGTGACATCCCAGATGAAATGGCCAGTCTGGTGATTTTTTTTATGATGTAGCCCGTGTTTTTGTTTTTTGCATGGTGTCAACAGTTAGGAAAATGAAGAGGCGGGTGAGGTTAGGTAAGGTCAACAGCCTAATGTAAATTGTTTATCAATACCATTCTGTTTATTGTTAAGTATACTGTAGGTTTTGTTGCTATTGTCATAAAATTTTGGACTGTCATTTACTTTGTTTACACAGTTGTGCATCAAACAGCAAGGTTGGAAAAATATTTCCTGGATTAATTAAGGCTGATCCTAGAAACTTTCCGAGAGTTGATGTATTCATGGTCGTAGAATACTACCAAGGACTCCCACATCCAGTTATAAGATATATCAAGTCACAAAGGTATGATTGGAATTATTACATTATAGTCACGAGCTTGACTTGTATTTAAAACCTGCCCATATGCAACATGTTCACGAATGTAATTCACTTAAATACTTCTAGTTTGCCTCAATGTTTTATTTTGAACAGTTCATTAATCTAGTATAACAACCATTAATAAGGACTGTAAGTAGTTACGTGTCATTATTTAGATGAAGGGCTTTTTTATACTCTAATTCACCTTAATGTCTCATATTTGCACGTAACTAGCGACACCTGTACCTTTAAACAACACACTGATTTTATTAAGAGCAATAACCAAGATTATCATACAAATATCTTAAATATTTTGGCTGCATAGAGATATGTGAAGTAAGATATATTTACTTGTGAACACAACCAAAATTAAGAGGATTAAGGGATTTTTGTTCGCATCCACATCCTACATTTATTTCTCATGGCTTAGCGTTGTCGGGTTACATTTCAGTCCAGTTTTGCACTGCAACGATGACTGATGCTGTTAATTATAGTAATAATTACATTATTATTTTGGTCATTCTGATATTAACCTTTGACCTATTAAAATAAAATCTAAGTGGCACCACAAGGGGTCTTCAAAGTTAAAATATATTGCATATTGGATTTATGATA